ATTTATCACTAAGTTTGCTTATGTATTGTCTGAGCCCAATGACTTGGCACCTAGAACAGTCTCAGTAGCTGTAGAAGAAACTTGGTAAACATTTCCTGATGTCAAGAGCCACTCTCTATAATTTTGGGGAAAAACCATTTCATAATTAAATTATGATTAAGACCATCTTAGGCCCAATGTCTCCTTGCCCTCGAGCTGGCTGTGGCATGCAAAAACATAACTGTTTTACCTCCAGTCACAAGTTGAGGCCTCCTTGGTCCCGTGATGCTGTGATTCTCACGAGCAAGATTACATCAGCTGAAGACACTCTGGTTCTTGAAGAACCAAGTAGTAATAAAAAAAAAAGAGGTTTCACATGGGAAAAAGGACAAACTCCTTATTAGTCTGCTATCTTGTCCCACCTACTACTGTAAGAATGCTTTGCCCATCTCCGGTCCTCATCAACATAGATCCTCAATGACCTAAGATCCCTGCCGCCCTGAGTCACCCAATACTCCTTCCAATTATTGTGTCCACCAATAAATGGTGATGAGCTCAGAGTGTCTTTGTCTTTGCCCACTCTGAGGCACTGACCTCCCAGCCCCTCATGTATTATGAAATTACGCATATCTCTATCATCTTTCTTTAGCCCTCACCACCCACACCCCTTTCTAGGCAGATCGACCTCTGATACACTGAGAGAAAAAATAAAAGCATATAGTGATCATAGAACTTGAACCAACTGAACAGTTCAAGGCTCAATTTTAATATGAGTTTTAAGAAATGTAATACCTCTCCCACTCAAACTGCCATTATTACACAGCACCCACCCCACCACCAAGGCCCAGATCCTAAGGCTTTGAGGTGGTGAGCCTGCTCACCCAGCATCCTGTAAAGATCCCAGCCCCGGCCTTCACACCATGCATTCTTGCCTGTTGTGCACAGAGGAAGGCGGCCTGGGAACAGCCCACAGCAGGGGTTCTTTGGCACTGCTGGACTATCGGACATCTCAGAATCTGACGAAAGGGACTGGACCTCTCTCCAGGAAATCCCACACATGAACAAAATCATGAGTCTCGGTCATTCAGACTTAGTATATGGCACTCAAGAAAGATGACTGTGACAATGACACCCTGCGAGGGCCATCTGTGAGACACAGAAAAGGGGCAGGGAAGAGAAGCCAAAGGCCTAGCGCAGGCCTCCCTGCCCTGGGGGAAGGGGGAACAAAGCTCGGTGCACACCACAACCCCCACCATGCCCAAGACTGTTCCATGCAGGGGGTGCCCCCAGCTCAGATGAGATCGGCTGCTGCCTGACTTCCATGTGCTCCAGTCCTGTGCTGGGAAAGCAGTCTCTACCATGGCATTGCATATAATAGAGCTGGTTCTGTGAGTGTGATGTGTTTCTACACACTTGGTCGGCAGGAGAAGAGTGGCAGTGTTAGGGGATGTGATGTGTCTTGTACGTGCTCAATTCTCCCCAGCTTGCTTAACATTTTGAAGTGACCACAAGCAAGAGTCTCACAGTAAGAGAAAAAGCCTTAACTACATACAAAGACTTAAATCTTATGGAAAGGTGATGTTTTAGTGCAAGCAGCGGCTATTTAGTAGCTTCAAGGACCACTATGCTTTATATTAAACTGAACCATCTAGGGAAGCTGAGAGTACAAATGGAGCCAAGATTTACCCATATTAATATTTTTCAGTCTCATAAAAAAAGTCTATACAGTACTCAAGATAGGTCTCGTTTTGTTCCTAATGAAACTGGTTTCTATTGGAATCAAATGTCCTCAGAGAACTGCATCTCAAAGGAACAAGCACAGCCCCAGGGTTTAAGACTGCAAAGGACCATGTGGGGAATAAACACCAGGGAGAATTTAAATGCCAGAGTTGTTACTGTTTTGTTTTTCTTTTCTTTGTACCAGGTACTGAACTCAGGTCTTTGCACTTGCAAGGCAGGTGCTGGAACCACTGAGCTAAATCTCTGGCCCTGTTACTGTTTTTAATATGTGCTCTGTTTAAAAAGTCACAAGGCTACAGTCTTCACATGGTTAGTTCCAAACTTATTTTTCCCATAGGCCCTGGTATTTCTCATGGCCATATACAAGGAATTGTAGCAAAAATGCCTATACTAAAATACATAGAAAGAGTGTCTTACTTTTTCTCATTGCTGAGACAAAATACCAAACACCCACAAGCTAAAGCAGGAGAGGTTTGTACTAGCTCATAGTTTGTAGAGGTCCAGTACATAGTCGGTTGATTCCAAGGCAGTGTGGCACAGCAAAAGGGTGCCACAGAGGAGAAACAGTTCATGGCAAGGCAGGCAGGAAAGCAGCAAGCAGCAAAGCAGTGAGTCTCCTTTTCCCTTTTATGCCCTCCAGGCTACAAACATTATGGGTGGTACCACCCAAATCCAGGGTGTGCCTTCCCATTATCCACACCCATAACTATGCCAAACCAATCAGTGGACTAATTTAGTACCACACACCTTTAATCCTAGTATCCTAGGTTTGTACCCTAGATCCATCCAGCTCTGAAAAGCCCCACCTATGAGTGCATGAGGCTTTGGGGGCACATCTAGATACAAACTATAACAAAGAGTATCCTGGGTATCAGGTATGGGTTATCAGAAAGGGATCTAGTCTCTCTATTGTAAAAATAAGTAAACAAAAGGATATTCATGTGCTTTTGGTCGGGGTCAGCACATCACCCGGGGCCCAACAATGTCTGGGAATCTTGACAATATTCATTCTGGACCTAAGGACCAGACCTTAAAATGAAGTCAGTTGAAGGAGGTGTAACCACAATCTGGTCTACAGCCAGCTGCCCTCCAGACAACACTGGACTCATTTCCCACATGGAATGGCTGTGTGAAAGCTGAATCCCGTCTGATCCTGCTGCTTGGGGTACAGGACAGCACATTGCTCTGAGCTCAGGATGACTTGAGGAATAAAGCCATTCAGAGGCAGTGGCTTAATGAGGGCTGACCTAAAGCTTTATTCCTGGGGGAAGAGTACTGCTGGTAAAGGAAAAAGGGCCATGTTACTACAACAGTTCTGTTACTCTTCCCAAAGAGCAGGCAGTGCCCTAAAAATGAAACCCTGGGGTTAAGTTCAACTAGAGAAAGGAGAGCAGACATTTATCAATTTCAGGCAGGCTCTTCAGCACCCATCTCTCTTCTTTTTTTTTTCCCCCTGCAGAACCAGGGATTAAACCCAGGGTCTTCACACTGATACACGCCCAGCCTTTGTTATTATTTCAAATTTTCAGATGCAATCTCACTAAGTTGTTAACTGTAGTCTCCTGCCTCAGCTTCCAGACCGCAGAGATTACAGGCATGTGCCACCACACCTGGCTCCATCTCCCTTTTTACAGCAACTATGTCCTTTTGGCAATCTCCCTTTCCCACACTACATGTCGTCTTGGTTGGAGGACAGTCTTAGCCTTCAGAAACAGAAAGCACCCCTTCCTATCCCTGGAAAAGCATGAGCAGGACCATGACCTAACTCACTGATACCAGCTAAGATCCTTTGGACCTCTGAAAAAGAAGCAGGATGACAAGCAGTGAGGCCCATACCAACATACATCCTATCCGCTAAGTATGACACAACATGACCCTCTTCCACCAAGAGGTACAGTGGCTTTCCCTTGCCTTGATCCTGGAAGGATCCTTGTAAGTGAGCAGAATGCAGCAGAAGAGACAGTCACAAAGAGCACGAGACTTCTCCTGGGAATCACCAGTTGCTATGCACGAAGATACACAGGTGGCTCTTTGGAGAGACCCATTTAAGAAGAAGAGAGGCCCCACAGCCCCACAGTTAGCCAGGAGAATGAGCTGGCTTAGAAATGTATCCTCTGGACCAGCTGATGATAGCAGCCCAGCTGACACACAATTGTAACTGCACAATAGACCTGAAGGGAGAGTAGAGCCCTGCCCAATTCTTACCCAGTGTTGTCAGGAGAGATAATAGATGACTGCTATTTTGAGCTACTAAGTTTCAGGGTGATTTGATACGTGGCATTAAATTGTTAACATATTGGTGGGGGCAATTTTTATAGAGGACACAGTAACAGGGCCAAGGACGTGGCTATGCCTGAGCAGTATTGTCCAGCCTGTCCTGGCCACCGAGTGACTACTGTCCTCTTCCTGCTTCCTGCTGGGAGTACCCCCCAGGAGGAGGCCTGGCCTCCTATCAACTGTATGGCTCCTTTACTGCCAAGCCTCTGACCTTCCAGTACACTCTGCTTTACTTATCGGATTCTGCTGACAGTATTCAGAATTGGCCTCATCACAACAAGGAAAGTGAATAGATATAGGAGTTAACACAGGGCTTTACTGGCCAGGGCTGAGGGATGGTGGACAAAAAGGCAAAGGGGAGGAGGAAGGAAAAGACTACAGTGTGACTCAGAAGAAATCCAAGCATATATAGACTGATCCACATTAAGCAAATAACTGAACGTGCAGAAATGCCAAGTTTAACAATGATAGTGACATCAAAGCGTACAGTGTCCCACAACAGACTCCGTTTCGCTACACAGCAGCACTGCAGGGAAACCATCAGCGCTGTCCATCACTTGCAAAGGGGAATTCAGATAAACACAAAGGTCCAGAAGCCCTGACCAAGCTTGGGTCGGCTGCTGCTCACTAGCACGCCCAGGGGGTCAAGAAACATCTTAGGGTGCTAAGGGAGGACTCTGTGGCATTGTCCTATGTTGGCTCTAGAATGTGACCTACTGTTTAATCCAGGGACTTCCATCTAGGACAGCATTTCATAGACAGTAGCTAATAAAGTATATGCATGCTCTGAAAATTGCAAGTCTGTGTTTACAGATGAAACTAGATTCCTAAAATTAGGACTGTAAATTCATAACCACTGTAGCTACCACAGGATCTTGCTAGGCATGAGCATCAGGTGGAGAGAGTTAGTTTCCCCCATTCTCAGAAGTCAGGATCATTGCTCCCCGATCTGTCTGAGATCCCACCCTCATAAACTCCCATCCCAAGGCCACACTGGATATTACCTGTGCCAAGCTTAGCAAAAACCTGCATGGATTCGTCAAAGCGCTTTTGGCAGAAGAGGTTGAAGGCGTACAAGTTCTTGATGTGATGGATTTGCTGCTGCTTCTCACTGTCAGAATAATCTTTCATTTCCTGACAAGAGAGTAGAACAGATAAGTGCTTACTAATCTGACAAACATATATATCAGCATGCTCTTCACAGAAGCTCAAGTGTGCACAGCACCAACATGCATCTCTGCCTTATGACTATAGTCTAACCACAAGTAACCATGCAACTAAAATACACCAAGCTTTCTGCAAATAGCCTAACCAGTACTCCTGGAAATTGCCAAGGTCATGCAGAACAAAGAAAGAGGAAGACAATGTCACAGGCCTGAGGACACTAAGCATATGCGACAATTAAATGTGACACAATTTCCAGATTTGGTTCTGGAACAGAAAAGGTCAGCAATGGAAAAACTGGTCAATTCTAAATAAAGACTTGAAATTAGTTTTAAAACAGAAGTCCAAAATGAGACAGGATAAGCATGATGGCAGAAGTAGTCTGAGTGGGGGTCCAGGTTGGGCCAGCAGGGACCAGACTGGGGTAGCAGGGTAAGCTGTAGTCAGCTAAGGGACTGGAAGGGAGGGGAGGAGGAGCATGTGCTTATGGAAAAAGGGACAGGCATGTGCAAGACCCTGAAACAAGGCATGATCAAGGAATGAGAGACATCTGGCGAGACCTATGCAGTGGGGAAAGGACCTGCTTACAGCAAAAGCCCAACAAATGGGACAATTAACAGCATTGTTTCTTTTGATTATCACCCATATCTCATTTAATTAGTCTTTGCCAAATCTAATTTCTTCTTCACAATGTCTCAGTTACCTTCTTCCCTTCCCTCTGACCACTTGAGACCAACCACTGTCAGTGTATGGCTGTACTTATTCCCAGAACTTTTTCTTTTTTTGAGACAGGGCCTTGCTAAGTAGCCCAGGTTGGCTTTGAACTTGTGATCCTCCTGTCTCAGTCTCCCTAGTGCTGGCATTACAGGTCTGCGCCAACCACCCAAGCTTAGAAATTAACTTTTACTATTATCTTCATCCAAATTTCTTTAAATTTGCACTGTCTAGGTTATGCCCAGAATGACTTTGATTCTTTCCTAACATCAAACAAACCCTCTACAGATTACAATCATCATCACTGAGGATTTCTATAGGAATAGGACCTGAATCTGAAGGTCAACTCCAAAATGGTTGTTGGCCATGGGAGCCCAATTGGAACAAGGGCACAGTCACTGCTTTGCTGTTAGCAACATTCCACAAAAACATCGAGAACAACTGCTGTGGTTTAAACACTGTGTGCCCTGACCCAGCCACAGAGCTTTGAGTGCTGGGAACCAGATCCCCAGTGTGGCAGTGCTGGGAAAGGGTGGAGACCTTTAAGGGCTGGTCGGTTGGCAACTCCAGAGATGACTAGGGACATGGGGTGGAATTCCTGGGGAGTCATAGAGGAGGTTGATATGAGAGGAGCAGCTCCAGCTCCTTCTGTCCTGCCTGCTTCTGGGTGGAAGTGTAATTATTTACTTGTCCTTCACTGCTATCCATGATACAGCTAATGGGCAGCACTCACCATAGATTTGGACTTTGAACCTCCAAAACCCAGCTAAATAAACCTCCTTTCTTCATAAGTAAATTGTACCTGTATTTGTTATAGTGACAACAAGCTGATTAATACAGTACCAATCATAAGTATCAGACTGCACCCTAGATGATGTAAATCTTGAGGTAGTTTTAGAATATCTAAAGTTACTAATCCCAACATACAAGTCCACCTCTGAAAGAAATCCAGAGATGTAGCAGACATCCGTGCCCAGTACTAGCACTCTATGAGTGGCACATGACTCTTGTTTTCCCTAATTCAGCTATATTGCATTATATCAGGAGTCAGACCAAAGTACTATGCAACTCGATGGGCATGTCAGATAGCAGAGTTGGGCTAGTATTGCTCCTTTGCTTATCACTGTCACTGAAGCCTAAGTCCTGGTCTGTGAAGTGGCATGGATCTGCTAAGTTTCATGAAGCTGAGGTCAGCATGACCCAATTAAAATCCTTTCCCCTGAATTATGGCTTCTCACTGACCTGATGGTTGCTTACTAATTGCACCTGCTACCAGTGCCTATTTGTTCTTTGCAAGCAAGATAAGAAATGCTCACTTCTAAGAGTCCTGCCTGGCACCACCATGCCAGGTGTTTGGCAGTACTTCACTAGACGCTTTCAAAGCATACCCAGCCCCCTATTCCTTCCCACAATTGTATTCAATAAATACTGGATAAATTTGGGGGCCTTTGTCTTTGTTACCTAGAGCAGCATCGATCAGGTCCCAAGGCCCAGCTTCACTCTAAGTTTCATTTTCTGTCTTTATTCTTTCACCTTGTGGTGTTGTGGCTCACAGGAGGCCAGGAGCCACTGCAGGGGTTCTGGCAATATCCCCTTGCCTATTCCCTATACAGAAGGGCCCTTTAGTTTTTACATTCAACTAGACTGTAACATTACATTTGTGACCATTACTGTACTTGCAATGTTTCTATGGTTTTTTAATTTTTAAAAACAAAAAACAGCTATTATTTTATTATCTAATTCTGTAAGATACTATTATTATAATTGGCATTCATCCTATATTTGTTTTGTATTGTTTGTTTTGAGACAGGGTCTCACTAAGTAGTTCAGGCTGGCTTTGAACACACTATGTAGCCTCAAATAGCAGCAATTCTGCTTTAGCCTCCTGAGTGCCGGGATTACACCACCATGCCCAGTTCATTCTATATTTGGACAGATTAACAAAGTGAAAAGGTAAAATCACATAGAATTTCACAGGTATCTTAAAACAGATCCTGAGAATTGAAGCTCCTTTTCAGCTCTGTGCTCATTCTACTAGTCCAAAGTAAATATGAACATCTACACCAAATTCAGCCCTTTTGACAACAAGGAGGAAAGCTAACTCACCCACAAATCTCAGGAACAATACTTACTGCGAGTTGCAAGGCCAATTCAAACTGTTTATCCTGGAGAAGCTGTTGGATCTGGGTTGCCATAGGGACAGGAATGAGTCTCCAAACAAAATGATTGCTGGCCACATAGATAATGTTTGATCTGGAGGCAGAAGTAAGATTATCCGTAGAAGAGCATGGTGTTATGATGACATGGTGATTTTAATCTTGGAGATAGCCTGGTAACCACAGTGAACAAAGGAATTGCTTACCCCCCAGAGGTAATGAAACGAGGCCTTTGCAGTTCAATGCTCTGGACCAGAAGCCTTGGCTCAAATGTGCGGATCTCCACGTATCGAGGCAACACTGCGATGATGTAGGGGGGCTGGTGCTCTGTGTGAAAGAGAGAGGGCTGAGCTCTGGGTTATGGACTGTTTCAGCTGCTCACATGAAACTGCATCTGAATGAACCTTCAATAGAGCCCACCAGTCAAATCCCACCCAAGATATGACACCATGGTACAGAAAGGGAAAGACATTGCTTGGCCTGAGTGGTGCCCAGAACAAAACTCTCCTGAACAGAGAGGACGTGTCAGCTCTGCGAAAAGAACCTGACCCCAGGTCCCTCTTTCCCCAGAGCGTGGGCAACAGTATCAAGTATCCTTTCTCTTTAATCACAAAGTGGCTAAAAAACTGGATGTGGTGGCTTTAGTGAGGCTCAGGAGAAAAGCTGGCTACAGTCTGCTTCTTCCCTCCTCTTAGAAAGAGGAAGAGACTGGCAATTTTCGCCCTAGCCTCCCCAGCATTCCTGCCTGAGATTTTTCACAGATGCAATGCTCTACTCAGTGGATGTCATGGTCTGAATATTTTTGTCCCCTCTAACTCTTATGTGTTAGAATTTTATTTTGAGACAGGGGCTCACTAAGTTGTGACCCTCTCGCCTCAGCCTCCTGACCAGCTGAGATTATAGGCATGTATCACCATACCTGGTTTCTTTTTGTTTTTTAAAATGACACATAGCTATACCCATTCTCTCCTTTCTGTACTATATGACAGGTGTGGAACAGGCCAGAGCTTAAAAGTGCTAAAGAAGTCAGCATGTAAAAAGCCCCGAACTCTTGCCAAGAAAGCTTTCCTTTGTTTGAGAGGTTGTGTGACAAAAATTTAACACAGAAAATTTTCTTTAAAATACAAAAACTTATAAAAAGACTGAATAAAGGTCTGCTTTACTTTTTACTGAACTTTTGAAAGGAATTAAATATAACTGCACCAATTTAAAAATAGGAACTGGAGGTGGAACCTGGTGGCAGGGCACTTGCCCAGCATGCACAAGACCGTGGGTTGGAGGCCCAGTACTACAGAAAGGAAAAATAATTAAAAGTAAAAAAATATCAGCCAAGTGTCATGGTGCACGCCAGCACTCAGGAAGCTAAGGCAGAAGGATCACTGTCAGTTCAAGGCCAGCCTGGGGTACATAGTGAGTACAAGGCACTACACAGTAATACCGTCTCTCAAAAATACCAAAAATAAATAAACATGAATATTTTCATGACTACATTCCATAATATATTATGAATTGGTAAAAAATCATGATGAGCTATTAGTTCATACTCATTGTAACAGATACTATAAAATTAAAGCTAAAAGAGAACTAAAAAATTAGTAATTTGAGGTCTACATATTTCCATCATTTTAATGCTCTTACTATTATGCTGATATTTTTCATCTTACCAAAAACTAAAAGAAAATTCAAAGACATGCTATCTCATATTTATTATTTTTCTCTTTTTATGCTGACCTCATTTTGAAAAGTTAGTATAATTTTCTTTAGTGTTTTCTTGTATATGCAAAATTCTTTTTTAAAACTGGCCTTCTGGTGTAAGGAGCCAGAGGACACAGTACTCTCAATGGCCAGTGAGATGGCACCAGGCCAGCCAAGAGGGAATTAATCCTGACTATGGCACCAAGGATGTGGCCCTGGAAATTAAGGCATGCACATGTTTTCTGTGAAGTGCTATGGAAGGCACTGGGGCACCAGCGAAGGTTTTAAAACAGGAACTTCTGTGCTAGAGAACCAGAAACACATTTCAAACACTGTTTCGTGCATCTTTACCTCATCTGCCAAGCTGTCTCACCTGAAGCCAAGGCTCCCTAGAATACCAGGAAGCCTCTAAGAAACTCCCAGCTCCCATACTTGTTACTATACACAATCCTGGGCCTTCTAAAATACTGTCCTTCTAGCCAGGCGTGGTGGGGCATGCTGTAACCCCAGCACTTGGGAGGCAGAAGCAGGAGGATTGCCACGAGTTCAAGGCCAGCCTGAACTACATACCTAGCCAGATCCTTTCTCAAAAAAAAAAGACAGATATAGATAGATAGACAAAATACTGCCCTTCTGATTTACCTTCTGTCTGGTCTATGTATCTCTAACCACCACCAGAACAGTATTTTTATCAAGACCATAACCACTGTGGAGCCCACTGGCCTCTCAGGCCCCTTCTTGGGCCTCTGGCAACTGGCCCCATGGACTCCCCCACCCTGCAGACCACTTCAGCAGCTCAGTCCTGGCAGCGGCCTCCCACAGATCAGCACAGCTTCTGCACTTTCACTCACTCTTCCAACTATTCTTTCTGCCTTGAATGCAAGGGAATTTTTCTTCAAGTCAGATTCCAAACTCCCTACCTGTCCTAGTCCAGGCTTGCCTATGCAGTGAAACTTCTTCCTAGTTAAACCATGAACTTTCCCTTCTGGGAAATACTGGAGTTCAATGCTTCCAAAGGAACACTTTAAGCAGGTCCTTTTTCTATCTCCCTTTTCTTTCCATTACTGCGGATGGAACTCAGGATCTGAGCTTGTGAGGCAAGCCACTGAGCTAAATCCCTGGCCACTGTTCTGTCTCTTTATCTAAGATATAATCTGTTTCCTAAGCTAGAGTCCTTTGAGACCCAGGGCCCATCTGTGTGTCTCACTCCACAGCAGGAACTAGTTAATAGTGCTCATACTTCTGGCCACCAAGGAACTGCTGCAAAAGTGGGCAGAGGCTGAAGCCGGGCATGGTGACACACACCTGTAATCCTATCACTCGGGAGGCTGAGACAGGAAGATTGCGACAAGTCTGAGGTCAGCCTGGACTACCTCGTGAGTTCCAGGGCAGCCTAAACTACATAGCGAGATCCTGTCTAAAAAAAACAAACAAAACAAAAACAAAAATTTTAAAAAGTGGGCAGATGCTTCCAGGCAACGCCACCTCAGAGGCAGGCACCTGAGACAGGCAGGCAGAGCAACAGGAGCACCTGATACCCAAGTCAGAGACTATCGGCTAACTGCAGCCTCTGTGTCTAAGCTACAAAAACAATGACAACAATAACCATGAGATCAAAAGCCCTTCAATATATTTATATATATTATAGGAATAATGAGGAATTTCCTCTAATTTCCAAATGTACACTACTTGACATAAGACAATAATAAAACCATTAAAAAGAAGATAGAAGACAAGGAGCTAAAGAAATAAAAACAGCAGTAGACAAGCACTTCCTGAAATGTACATTTTTCCCCTCTTGAGCAAAACTCATCAGCTTCATGCAAAAACTAGACTGTCCTGTTTTTAAAGGCCCTGAAACATCATGTACTTCTGAGAAGGGAACCGAGAGTTACCAACACAGTGCAAAGCAACCTGCTCAAGCATGGACAGAACCCATTCCACAGGGAAAACACAGCCCCATCCCACAGGGGGAAGGGCAGTGGCCAGCGGCCTTACCCATGGCCACCGGGATGTCTGTCCAGTTCAGGGCACACTTCTGGGTGCAGATTCCCTCTTCATTGAGTACCACGGTGAGATCATCCTGACCCACAGCCACTTTCCCATCTGCCAGAGGTGCGACTAAAGGTTCCAGCTGTTTTCCTGTTGGGAAGAGCTCTTTGATAGACCCCTTTCCATCCACCTACAGGAAAACACAGAGTGAATCACCTAGCTTTCCTGGGTCAGAGGCATGAACAATCTAGGCAAAACCCCAACCAGGGAGGCCAGCAATATTCCTTGTTTGACATGAGTACCACACTGCTTGTTATGACAACCTCTACAACAGCGTAAGACCAGCACTCTAATGAAGAGAAAAAATTTTGCTGAACACTTGTTTGCAAGCAAATGCATTTGTGAACTGAGGTACCACTGTAATTACTGAGGGATGGGAATGCAGATCAGTGATAAAGCATGCATAAGGCCTGGCATGCACAAGGCCCTGGATTCAATTCTTCAACACTGGGGGGAAAGAAAATGTAAATAAAAAGGAGAAAGAAAAACTTATTGACCTTTTGGTATATGGACTTTTATCCCTTTTATGAAAATATATGTATTTGTCACTTTTTCATTTCTAGGATAATGTATCTGATATATACAATTTATCAGAGGCAAGTTTTATTTTGGCCAAAATTTTGTTTTTGTTTGCAAACTCTGCACTGGGTAACAAACATGACTGAAGTTATCTTTCCCACTCAAACACAAATGTGGTCATCTTTTCCAAAATTGTAGAACAAATTACATTTGTGAACTGAGGTACTACTGTATTTCTGAGTGGGAAATTCCAGATGATTTTGTACTTCCTTTATTTCCTTATCTAGATTGTTATTTTTATTTTTTTAACTAATACACATATGTACCTTTTGAAATACAAGAAAGCAGTGAAAAAAATTTTTTTTAAGATAGGGTCTTGCTATGTAGGTCAGGCTGGCCTGATCCTGATGCCTCAGCCTCCTGTGTACTGGGATTACAGGCATGTGCAACCATGCCCAACTCAAAAATAAGTCTTAAAACAAATGTATTAAGAGATTTGGGGAGGCAAGAGATTCGAAGTTTTAAAAATTCTTAAGTAAATGAGGGCACGACAAAAGTGAGCAGCCCTGATGATCAGGCCTAATAATTACATACATGCTATGGATAATCATTATGTAGAGAACTGAAAGCTGGTATCGTTTGGCTTAAATTACTCAGACATCTTATTTGTGGAATATGCTAACAGCACAAAAAATAAACAAATATACAAACAAAAAGCCTGAGATGCGAAAAAACTTAAGGTAGTCTCCTGACCTGTCATTCAGAAGTACATAATCATCTTTCCCAAGGTAAACTGATGATATTTGCAAAATCAAAAGGTTTACCCTGATTAGGTAGTAGTCTCTCTTGAAACCCACACAGATGGAATTTTCACACCAGGCCATAGACTTGGGCACATCTGGTACACTAAAGTCCCCCTGAAAAGAAAGCAGAGATACAGCTGAAAAGACATTAAAAGGAAGAAGAGAAGGAAAAAAAACAAAAAAACAAAAAAACAAACTTACAATCTATTATTTCACTTCCATTCTGCAGAATAACCCTCACCCTCACTAGAACACAATTCTCCTAGCACAGTGCCAGGAAACCATGCCTAATAAAAATAGAAGTCACCCAGGAACGGAGCAAAGTGCACTTGGAGAAGGTAAAGTCCATTTTAAATAAACCAATCTGCATAAATGCTATAAAATTATACCACAAGTGGATATGAACAAGCTCTCAGCTACTTTATACCAGAGTATCCAGGTGGAGAGACTATAAGCTGGGGGTCCTAAGCTCCACTAGACCCAAACAGGAAGTCTGTCCACAGCAGCAGCTCCCACCCCACCCAGGGACCCATTAACAGTGGACCTCACCTGCAATTCATGAAACTCCCTGTCCTTCCAGAAATAGAGCTGCAGTTTCTTTTTTACTGCCACACACATCCGCAACACCTCCTCGCCAGTCTCTGTGTGCTGGGAAGAGATATCCAGAGGAAAAGAGGGTGCACATAAGACAACTCTGTAACTAGGTGACAACTACATCAGAAATTTTCTACCTTGAAATGGTGACTAAGCTGAAAGCCCGTAGCATAGTCACGTTGCTGGCAAAGCTGGGGAGAACCCCATCAACCTCCTAGATACCCTCAGAAACTCAGAGCAGTTTGTGCCTAAGTTCTGCCAGCCAAAGATCCCAGCAGCACCTGGACATTTACAGTGCAGGGGAAAATCACAGGGTAGGCCTTCCCCTATATAACAGCTTCCTCCTTTTTTCTTAAATGTCTCTTGCTCATGACTATTATGAGTGAGTGAAGGATCAGCATATGCCAGGGACAATGGGCCCACTTTTACCCCTTTATTTTTATTTTTTAATTTTTGATTTTTTGGGACAAGGTCTCGCTATGCAGTTCAGGCTGGCCTTGAACTCACTGTGTAGCACAGGCTGACCTTGAACTCACAGCAATCCTTTTTTTTTTTTTTTTTTTTAAATAGCAAAATATTTTTTGGTACATTTTAGACCTATGTAATGACAACACTTATCATTGGGAATTTACACCTGTACATGGTACATCCCACCCTTTTTCCCCATTACCCTCTCCATTTTGTACACTGTAAACAGTGTTGTACACTGTATTGAAATATAGCACAAATGGCTTTCACCTTGATGACACATTTATCCCATTTAAATGAGTAATCAAATAAAAAAAATGTAAAACTGGTAAGGAATTTTCATCTTCAGTTTCCTTGATTCCATAAATGACAGTATCATTTCACAATTCACAAAATCTTTTCAGCATTTTACTCCAACTTGGCCACCTCACTTCAGAAAAATGATGTCCCCATAATCAGCATCCTTCCTTTTTTTTACCATTTCAAAACATTTTTTGTTGACTCATTAGTGTGATCACAGAACAAGATTCCTAATTAAGCATGAAAAATAAATATGGACCGCTTCACAAATTTGCGTGTCATCCTTGCGCAGGGGCCATGCTAATCTTCTCTGTATTGTTCCAATTTTAGTATATGTGCTGCTGATGCGAGCATAGCATCCTTACTCTTATGGAAATCGTGAAATTGGTGATTCAATCCCTAGGACCTTGTGAAAGTCACAGTTTTGATGATTTGCATAACATCATTTTGTTGTTTTTTTTGAGACAGGGTCTCCCTACACAGTTCAAGCTTGTCTTGAACTCACTATTTGAACTCATGGGATTCTATTCTCCGGCCTCAGCCTCCTAAATACTGGGATTATAGGCATGCACCACCTCACCTAGCTCTCATAACATCCATAACATCCATTTTTAAAACTTGAATTTCTTTGATGCATGACACAACACTATTTTATTAAATGTAACTTGCCAGTAACAACTGCACCATCTCTTATTAATTTATAAATACCTTACCGGCAATTGAACTCGGGTCCCTGAGCTTGCAAGACAGGCGCCAGAATCACTAAGCCAAATGCCCAGCCCTTTTTTCTTTTTCTTTCTTTGAGACAAGGTTTCACTCTGTAGTTCAGGCTGGCCTTGAATTCATTATGTAGCCCAGGCCAACCTCAAACTTGCAGTGATCCTCCTGCCTCAGCCTCCTGAGTGCTGGGGTTATTCCTGAGTGCTGGGATTATAGGCGTGTGCCACCACATTTAAATCACTCTTCTTTACCAACCATCACAGAGTATCACTATGGCTACACTAGATGTTACCAAATTTAAAGAAAGTCACTGTTATTTTTACTGCTTCATACAAATGAAGAGATTTAGCTGTTTTTGGTACAGGAGATCAAACTCAGGACCTTGTGCTTGTGGGCAGGCAGCAGCACCACTGAGCACAATCCCCAGCCCTTAGCTGTATTTTAATGGCATCAAAGAAGCCATTTCTTCAGTCATACTATATTAATAATCTATAACACTGCTAATTAAAACAGCAAGTTGAACCATACCTGTCATGTCAGCACTTTCATCTACTGCCAAAGAATAAAGTATGAAATGAGCAGCTTCACTCTTAAATCTTTTTCAGTAGATTTTCCCCCATTTCCTCAATTCATCTGGCTATAGTCTGGTGAGACAAACTGATTTAGAAAAATTAAGCAGGGTGCCTTATTTCTCTCAATAAAAAAGCACTCATCCGTTTTTCACTGAAGACTCTTCCTTCTTCCATTTTTCTTTTTTTGGGTTCTGTTTTCTTTTGAGATGATGATGAAGCCATACTGACTCAAGCATACCGAGAGGCTGTATGTAGCAGGAGGATCACAAGTTCAAGACCAGCCAGGACAACTTAGCAAGACCCTGTGACTCCAAGTCTTCGAATCCCTGCATGTCTGCCTCACCCCGAGGTCTCCAGTGGCCCTTGGCATCTCTGGGTAACTGAAGCACTGGCAGTCAAGGTATGTTTGCCATCACCATGGAAACCACGGCTTCCTCTGGACCACGTTTGGGCAGCACATATCTGGGGGCTGGGCTCTCACAGCAATCCTCTTGCCTCAGTTTCCTGAGTGCTAGGATTAGAGGCGTGTGCCACCATGCCTGGCTTTACCCCTTTAAAGGAGTTTTAAGCATAAAACAGTACAGTATTGAGGCGGGAGGGGAATGGGAAAAAAAGATGAATTGAGATATATCATGTACAGGTATAATTTCCCTGAGATGAATGTTATCATATGTATATCTAAAATGTATCCAAAAGAATTTTTTTAAAGATAAAACAAAAAGAATTTTTAAAAAATGCAGTATCAGAGTAGAGCATACATGTTAAAGAGATCACGGTTGGGGGTAGATGAGGCAGATTTTGAAGAATGTAAGGATGATGAATTAGCAAAAATAATGAGATGTCATTTTTTAACAAAAAATGCAAGAAGACCTCAGTGATCTGTTTAGAACAAGTCAATTTAGCATCATAAAATAATTATGTTCATGATACTGTGACACTCTTGTTTTCCCACTAATAAAAGCCCATGACGGGCTTTTATGAGAGCTGAATGAATAATTACAACATACAAACACATAGCTTTCTAATTAGAACACAGCAAACACCAACATCTCAACCTCACACCATGCACTACAGGGAAACCTCTCCACCATAATCCAAATGCTCTCTTCAGAGTGGTTTTGCCTGGGCTCACCAATGCCATTTTTCCCCCAGAATGGTGCACAGGTAGGGAAGAGTGCGTGTACAGAAGCTTGAATCATGCTTGTCCTGGGTTACTCACGTGGAGGTCACAGGTGAACAGCGATGCTCCCTTTGCCTTTGAGACTATAGTGATTTGTTGAAACGTCAAGAGATCATGGACATAAATGTTGTTTTCTGTTTGGAAGGAGGCAAGACGTTACTATAAATGACTACCCTTCTCTGGGACAGCCACGTGCAAGATGGCGGATGCTGGCTGAAGATGTAGGTTCAGATTCACTAGCAAGGACTTATCCTGGGTTGTCACCAGCCCAGTACATTTTAGAGGTTACCTGGTCTTCTCACCTTGGATGTTGTGGTCCTTAAAAATGTGGGCTCACTTGAGCAGAAGAGCTCTTCCACTTCTAAAAACACTCTACTACACTTTGCCCTTCTCGAGCCTGGACATTTATGATGCAGCAGTTGTACAACGAAAAGTTTTCAAAGCTATTTATATTAGGAAAAGGAAATCTGTGGATTTGGTATGAACTCATGGCAAAAATTTCATCCAAGTGAAGCAAGCAATATAATACAGAGTCCCCTCTTAAGACTACTTAGTTCCAAGACTGCCCAGGGGGTGCCTGAGTTGTGACAGTACTGCACCCTGCAGTATATTTTTCCTATAAATGCCTGTGATAAAGTGATAAATTAGGCACAGTAAAAGGTAAAAACCAGTAAGTAGTAATAAAATTTGTTATAATACTGTAACAAAAAGCTTATTTGAATATGGTATCTTTCTCTCAAATATCTTCCGGCACTGTCCTGGCTGCCCTTCTTTTGAACCCACAGTTGATCACATGTAACCGAAACCTCAGGAAGGAAACTATGGATCAGAGGGACAGCAGTGATTCTCCCCTGGACTCCCATCTAGTTTTAGTCATAAGGGCTCTGCTGCCTTGCACATGCACTCTTAGCTGCAGAAACTAAGCACACAATGACTCTATTATTTTGCTCCTGGGCTGAACAATACAGAGTGTAAGGCAAATCTCTAGTTCTTTGATGGTTAAGAAAAGGCCTTACTGATGCCTTCATGAAACTATGGCTTCCCACACACTGCTGAACAGTTTGGCCCCACCTGCCTCTCACCTGATAGCTTGTCATTATCACACCTTAAGTCCAGCCACAGTGAACCTTTTGCTGTGTATCCATCCACATTGCAGGGCCTTGTTCAAGCTGTTCCTTCTGACTGCAATGCTCTGCCTGCCTGTCTTCCTGTGGAAATCCTAGTAATCCACTAAATAATTGTCTCTTCCATTCCTAGGAGAGGTTTTTGCTAAGTTTAAGTCACACAGACTGGCCTCACACTTGCATTTCTTCTGCCCCAGACTCCCAAGAGGCTGCGATTACAGGCATGTACCACCATGCCTGGCCCTACAGCACTTTTCCTAGAGGTCTACTGTCAGTTACTGCTTGGTATTAGTACTACTTTGCTATTTTAGTCCGCATATTCTGAATATAAGTATCAGAGATAGAAACAATGTCTCATTAAATTTGTTATTGCCAATGTGTGCAGTTCAAGCTTTGGACAGAAAACACTTCAACAGATACACTACTTGATTGATTACCGAAAGAATGAAGGGGGAATCTCTGCAGAACAGAGTTCATGATTATAGCAGATGCTGCCTTTATTAACCATGGGCTATATCTGGTTTGGAAAATACTAATTCATTATAAAGTTAACCACTACCAGATTAACCATGAAATGGCTAGTTAGGTCATTCTTTTTGTCTTTTAGCACCTAAAATACAAATGCAACCCCTTTTCTTACCTAACAAGCTGACCAGAATCTTGAACTGGGAAACCACATGGATCTGGAAAATAGCAAATTAGACAAAATTAAACATTCCAGACAAGGTTTAGCAAATGATCATTGAACAACAGTGCTAAAAAAGGACTAGCCAGTTACAGGGGTTTGACTCATTTCTATGTGGAACCACGATTTCTGCTATGAAAGAGGATTTAGATGTATGACACACAGACAGAGAATCCTGAATGAGTAAAGCACAGAAAGCAGAGGATTCAGAGTTAATACAAGCTCTAGTTTGCTGGGGATCATGGCTTGGGTATAATTTGATTATGTCAGGCAACTCGTTGTGGGTTGGAGCCTTGGTCTCCAGTGTGGTGACATTAAGAGGTGGGGCCTGGGTGAGGTGCTTAGATCACTGAAGGTGGACCCTCAGAAGTGACTACGGCAGTTCTCAGGGGACCCTTACATTAGACTCAATAAAAGGGTGTTACAAAAGAACACTCTCCAGCTGCTTGTTTGGAAGTAGGATCTCTCTCTCTCTTTTGTATGCTCCTGCAAGGAGCAGGGCTGATGCTGATACTATGCCCTTGAACATCCAGAATGTGAGCTAAACAAACCTCCTTCCTTTATAAAGTAGTAGGCATCAGGCATTTCATTACAGTAACAAAAGACAGATATAATACAGTAGGGTCCCATAAAAGTCAAATATGCTTAGAGCACCCATCATCACTCCTTACCTGTTGAATCTTCTTGGAAAAATTCTTATTGGATTTCTCTAGAGTTACCTCAAATCTGTTGCAACCTATGAAAAAGGAATAGATATGTAAATCTCTAAATACAGGGATGCACAAAAAAGCACCCACAACAAAAATACTACTCATACTGTTCTCTTGCATAAATTTTCAAAAATTCCTAAAAGACTACACAAGGAGATTTAAAATAGCCAACTGTCTTTACTAAGCACAGTAAATTGCTTTCAACTCCATGTTTAGGACCAAGGGTTTCATGTACCTCTGGCGATAGCGGAAAGGACCACAAAAGTTTACTGAGGCTAAGCCTGAAGATCTTACTCTACATAAGAAGTACCTTGGCCAAATGCTGCACAAGAAAGAATGTAAGAAGTAAGTCAAACTCAAGAGCTCAAGCAAGGAAACCCAGCTCAAAGCACCCTGACCTCTAAACTGACAAATCCCGAGCAGCTGCCCTAGTCCTAGGTCCCAGGTTACAGAGCCAACACTTAGCGCCACCTCCAAAGCAAGACCATTCAAAAGTGATCTACACTTACTGCTGCCTTCAGGTGATGCTACATCTGCTGGCACTGCTGCTAAAACGGAGAAGCAAATTCTAAACCATAAAAACGTGTGAATTCAGCTTTGCTGAGGATGACAAAAGTGTTCAGCCTCCAAAGTCAGTGAAGCATCAAATACAATAGGAATTATTGTAATAACAGTAGCTGTCACTAATCAACAACAGGCACCAGGTTCTGGGTTTGAAAAAGTTACAGATTCTTTTCTGTAATCCCCATACCCGCCGAGAAATAGGTTATTTTCCTGGTTCACATCTGAGGGCTCTGCTGGAACAAGCACTTAGGGAGCAGCCACTGCAAGATGACCCTGGAATTAACTCCATGCTTATCTGGAGCCACGGCTCACTGCACGCTTCCAGCTGGCTGGAGAAAGCTGCTCCCTCACGGCTGGCCGTATGCTGGCCCAGGGAGCTGGCGGAGACACCCAGGCTGCCACAAGACTGTCACCTGCCCCAGCCAGCTTTCGTCTTCATGTCCCTCAGCAGAAGGAACGAAGATGGAGCTAAACTCTTATCATATTAGAAATGAGAGAAATATTTAAAGTATGTACCTATTAATTCATTGTTATATTTAAAATGTATACTTAATAACTCGTAACTCAAAGTAATAGTAATAAGCCCATTGCATTAGCAAAAATAATAGTTTCATGAAAGGTAATTTTTCCAAAAAAAAAAAAAAGGATTGTTTTTCCATTTGTGTAAACTCTTTAATTTCTGCCTTAATAGAAAATAGCTGGACTCACACCTACTTCTGCATTCATTTATTTACATTATTTACCATAACTTTTTTTTGGTGGGGGAAGGAGACTGGGGATTGAACTCAGGACCTTATGCTTACAGAGGCAGGTGTGGTGCCACTGAGCTAAATCCCCAGCCCTACCTACTTACTTTTTGAGGCAGAGTCTGGCTATATGGTTTCAACTGGCCTTGAACTTGAGGTGATCCTCCTGCCTCAGCCTATCTAGTGCTGGGATTATAGGCAGGCGCCACCAAGCTCAGCTACTTCAGCATTTAAACTGTTGGTTTTGCCTTTTGTGTTTGTGGTGCTAGAGATCAAACCTAAGGATTTGCAAATACGCAGCAAGCACCATACAACTAGACTACACCCACATGCCTGCTCATGCTACAAAGGCAGAGCAGAACAGTCACAGTTGGGCTTTTATGGCCCACAGAGCCTAAAATATTTACTATTTGAACCTTTTACAAGCAAGTTTGCTGACCTCTGATTCAAAGTAAAGTTGACAAACTTAGAAACAAAATAAATTCTCCATTTTGTTCTCTGGTTTGTCTTATTTCTCTAAGCAGAACCTGACCAGCCTTCTTTCCTCTCTCCTTCCTGCCTCCAGAAGATGCTTTCTTCCAGTATTGCATAACCCTTGTTCCAGGGCTGTTTCCACTCTTTCCTTAAATTATTTACCAGGGAAATATACAATGGGTTAAAAGCTATGAAACTGCTATCTCTGTAGGTCTAATATGGTTGGATAATGACAACTTGGTTCAACCAACTCTGGCATTAACAACAGATTTCTATAGAATGTGGGTGTGGGGCACAACAGCCAAACATCAACTGTTCATGAAGGAGCATAGAATTAGGAAAAGAGAGTGAGATGCTTTTTCTCCAATAAAAGATAGTCTTTTGCTTTTTTTTTTTTTTTAAGAGTAGATCTTGGACTGGGGATTTAGCTCAGTGGTTCCGCTGCCTGCCTAGCAAGTGCAAGGTCCTCAGTTTGATCCCCAGTACCAAAAAAAAAAAAAGAAAAGCAAAAAAGACTAGGTCTTGATATACTTGAGGCTGGCCTCAAACTTGCAATCCTTCTGCCTCAGGTTTCCGTCATGCTGAGATTGTAAGCATGTGCCTCTATATCCCGCTAAAGGAGATTCTTTAACAGAAAAAACTTCAAATACTTTAGTTATTATTTTACACTACTACAAAAAAAGTCACACATGATTAGACATTAATTTCAAAGTTCTTCAAGCCCATTATTTTTACCTGCCCTCAATGACATGGTGAAACAGACAAGAGAACTTACAGAACAGAAACCCGACACTGGAAAGGACCTGCCCACAGTCACGAGCACAGGGTAAAGTAACAAACCCAGGTCCTCTCTTCACAGTCTACCCATCAGAAGTTAAGAAGATCTTTTAAAATCAACAGTTCCTAAATTTCCCCCCCCCTACAGGATTCATAGTTTACACAGGGATCTTATTCCACTGGTAATATTTTTTATTACTAGTAGTGAATCTACACAAAGTGAAGGAGGAGGAATATCTAACCCTACCTTCCAGATGGGGATAACGAATATAGTTTAGGGAAATGAAATAAAGTAAAACCCTGAAGATTCTCACATTTCTTCCCATTTCCAAATGTGCTTCCTCCAATCCCCAACTGCTCTTTCATGACCTAACAATCACTGATTTCACAGCTGTATACAAGTCACCTAGCAAAACTTTTTCTATTTTTAACCAAATATACAATAAGCCATTTCTTTCTTGGTTCTGGAAAGTCTGTCACTTACCAACATCCTTCCGAATCCTATAGAGAAGGAGATGTCCTTGTTTGGTTCCAACAAGAAGCCATTCTTCTGCAAGGCAAAAGTGCCAAGAGAAAGGTCAATTTTAGATGTTTTAATAAAACTATTTCTTTAGCTGGGTCTTGTGATCAAGAAAATGAGATGCCTTTGATAGCAGATGTCTTAAAAAGCTAAGGAATATTTATATTCAAGAAATGCCTGAGCAAGGGCTAAGGTGTAGCTCAGTGATAAAGCGCTTGCCTAGCAGGCACAAGATCCTGACTTTTATTCCCAGCACCCCTCCAAATCTAAAAATGAGAACCAGTTATAAAAAATGTACTGAATAATTACTAGGTTAGTGATATTAGATGGTAAAATGTCCCTGGTTTCACTGTTTCAGAATTAAACTGACCAAAAAGAAATAAGGACAGCCCGGCACGGTGGCACACGCCTGTAATCCCAGCACTCAGGAGGCTGAGGCAGGAGGATCACTGTGAGTTCAAAACCAGCCTGGGCTACATAGTGAATTCCAGGTCAGTCTCAACAACACAGTGAGACCCCGTCTCAAAAAAACAAAAATAAATAAATAAATAAATAAGGATATTTTACTTTTATTAAGTTATAAACATTTTTTTCTTCTTCCTTCCCTCCCTTCCTCTTTCTTTGACAGGACCTCAGTGCTTTCTCTCTCTCTCTCTCCCTCTCCCCCTCCCTGCGCAACAAGAGCTCAGCATTTATTACTTTTGTTTCTTAACAAGGTATATTTTTGCTGGGTGTAGTGGCACATACCTGCATTTCCAGCACCCAAGAACTGAAGAAGGAAGACTGCAAGTTGTAACCGAACCTGAGCAACTTAATTTAGAGAGTCCCTGTCTCAAAATAATGACAACTAAGGGCCGGGTACATAGCTCAATGCAAAGGGCCTGGGTTTAATCCCTAGCTCCAAGGGGGGGGGCATACTTTTTATTTTTATAAGTATATATATTTTTAGTCCAGCTAAAAAAATGTGATGGATGTTTAAAGATCAAAATATGGACAGTACAAACACAAAACTGGTATCCAACCTCAGAAATAACAGCGAAGAGGCATCTTTTGATGTTTTCAAGATTTTATCTCAGGGGAGATAAGTGCTACAGCATACTAACGTACAGAATTTACAATCTCGAGGATGGTCCAACTGACTGTTGACAACAATGTGAAGAAATTGGAACCATCACACACTGCTAATATGAATGTCAAATGGTACAGCCGCTTTGGAAAAAAACAGTCTGGCAGTTCTCCAAAAGTTTAAACACAGCGTAACCCTCTGACCCAACAATTCCACTCCTGGGTGGAATCAAAGGGAGAAAAAAGCCTGGCAGGGTGGTGCACACCTGTCACACCTGCACCCTGGAAGCCTAAGGCAGCGGATTCAAGTTGGAGCCCAGCCTGGGCTGACTTTACAACTTAGCAAGACCCTGTCTCAAAACAGAAAATTAAGGGCTAATGATGTTGCTTAGTGCAAAGGCCCAGGTTCAATCACAAAATAAAACAAACCCTGCTTCCCAACGTGGTTGTGAGGCTTAGTGAAATAACAAACGGTATGTGCTCCCTATTTCCTGGAAGACAAAGCACGGTCAACAAGTATCTGTTTGTACCATTGTCCAATATACTCTTGTGCCAAGTAACAATTCTTTGGTAAACTCCTCACTGACTTTCAAGTCTATTTCCCATTTTCACTGAAATGCTTATTTGTCAACAGATAAATTTCATGAAATGTCCATTTGACTGGCCATAAAAGAAAATGACAGACTATATTTACTGAAACTTAAAATTTAACACTTGTATGTGTCGAGGGAAAATGTATTTATCATACATGCAAAGTATTTAAACATCTTTCTTTTAAAGAGTAAGGTCACTACATACACACTCCTTTCTCATTCCACACTCATCAGGGCAAGCAGTGGGCCATCCAGTTGTGCTAATGACAAGGACCTCTGCAGAGGTCTGCTTTGGCCACAGAAGGCGGGGATGGTGAGGCGGCAGAGGACCTGACTCTGAGACCAAGCCTGTGGGCAACACAGCGTGGGGTAGCAGCCTTCCGAGTCCTAGGGCTGCACACCAAAGAGTGGGGCACATTATATAAACAGGCTGCGCACAGGTAAACCAGCCAGCCAGCCCTACAGAATTCATGATGGGCAAATGATGGGCTTCAAGGCTGGATTTGGTCCCTCCTGGCAAGTTAGGCTGGACACTCTTGCTCATAACCACACTAATGAAGCTCTGTTCAACAATGCAGTGTAGCCCAACTTCATATATTAAACAATTACGTTGCTGGCCCAGTGCTGGCCATGAGAGGGAACTCAGCAGTATTGAATAAGGTAGTGGTCACTGTCCTTCTTCAGGTCATACAGCAAAGAACGGGATTTGTCAAAGCACATGCCCCTGACTAGCTGTGCCAGAATCACCGGGACTTATCAGAAATGCAAATTCCTGTGTAGTACTTAGGAGGTTGAAGTAGGAGGATCACAAATTCGAGTCCTGACTGGGCAACTTAGCAAGATCCCATCTCAAAATAAGAGTGCTCATGATGTAGCTAGTAGAAGAACATCTGCCTCACATGCATGAGGCCCTGTGTCCAATCCCCAGTACCATAGAAGTAAAATAAAATAAAGAGGTAGGGGATATAGTCAGTGTAAGGGCCCTGAGTTCAATCCCTCAGTTGCAAAAAGAAAAAAAAAAAAAAGCAGCAAATTCCTGAGCCCTGCACCCAGGGATTCAATGATTCTGGGATGGCAGAAGCTGCATTTATAAACTTATTCATATATGTATATAATTTCATATTTATATATGTATATATATTTATAGTGGGTATGGATATGTGTGGTACTGGGGATCAAACCCAGGTTTTTGCACATGCTAGGTAAACAATACCTCCAGCCCCTAATTTTTTTTAATTAATAAAGGCATTTATGTAGTTACAAGGCCAAAACTATAAGTCTAGTTTCAATTACTGGCCATCCACCCTTACCTCTCCCTTTCGGAACAGGTAAGATTTAATAATCTTTGGTTTGTCCTTCCATTGTTTCTTTGGAAAATGTAAGTAAATATGAATGTATATTCACAAGTACTCAATAAATGAAAGTTATTAATATCAATAGTGAATGTTACTATCATTATTCATTACTTAAATATTTAACAGACATCCATTGGGTCAGGAACTGTTCAAAGCACTGGGAAACACAGCAATGTACAAAACCAAATTCCTACCCTGAAGGAACTGGTGTTTTCAATGGGGAAAGTGAATATAATAAAATAACCCTGAGACACCGGGCATGGTAGCTCATGCCTGTAATCCCAGCACTCAGGAGGCCGAGGCAGGAGGACTGCTGTGAGTTTGAGACCAGCCTGGGTTACAGAGCGAGTTCCAGGTCAGTCTCAAGTACATGGTGAGACCTTGTCTCAAACAACTCCACCCCCAAAAAAATAACCCTGAGTGGTTATCCATGATAAAGATAAGAGTACGAGAACAGCACATTGGTGGATATGGTATTCCCTTTTATAGGATAGTTAGGAAAGGTCTCACTGTTTAAATGTCACTTCAGCAGACAATAAAGAATGATCCATTTGACATCTTGGTGAGAGCAACCAGCAAATGCAAAGACCCTGAAGTAGGTACGTGCTCTGACTGCTCATGGAACATCAAGGAAGACTGACTGGTACCAAAAAGCAGTAAGAAGTAAGTCCATGGGAGATTAAATCAGGCAAGCAGCCACAACTTGACTATGTTGGGTCCTGCCAGCCATGGTAAGGACCTTGGAACTTAACTCTAGTTGTGATAAGAACTGCAAAGTTTCGAGCAGAAGAAAGTTATGATCTGATTTGGGTTTTCAGAGGCTCATTCCATCTTTACATATATAAAAAACTGAAAATGACACAAAGGCAAACAGGGTGACAAAAGGCTACTCAGTAATTCAAATAAGCTATGATTCTGCCTTCATCAAGAATAGTAACAGTGGAGAGATAACCAAATGACTGGATTCTACATTTGTTCTGAAGGCAGAACACACAAAATTTATTGATGGACTGTACACACTATAAAGAGAATGAAAGAAGAATGATTCCAAGGTAAAAAGAAATCCTATTTGTTGAGATGTTGGTGTAGAAGGACAGGAATGTTTTGAATGGGTTTGGCCATGCTACTAAACATACAACTGAAAAAAACAAAAAAAAGCAACTCTGAAGTTGAGGCAGAAACCACTGGTGTCTTCCTCATTTCTATTTCCCAGGAGATGGATTATGTTGTCACTAAGACCTTCTAGCTCTACTTTTTACCCTAGCTGGTATGACCTTGCAGGTTCCTGGATGAGCATAGATACAAGGGGGTAATGACCAGAAATTGCAATAATTCTTGCTGCTGAAATCTGAAAATAAAGTAGTTTTGAGGCAGGAAGAAATAAATGGCCTCTTGTAGCCCAATACCAACAGCAATCTAATAAAGGCATTGCTCCTGTTTGGTGGGTGATGAAGGCAGGCCAAAAGCTACCTACCAGTTCAAAACTGTGTTCTTTTACAAAAGCATAGGAATGAGGACTCTCTAATGTGACAAGGTGGGATTAGTGAGAGAGACTCTAAGAGCTATTTGGTCCCACAGTATATCAGAGCCAAAGATTCTGACAAATGAAGTGTGGTAAGCAGGTACATTCACCCATCTCAGAAGCATGTATCTTAGGCTGAGCTGGGTTTCCTTTCTGCACATTGTAATAACAGGCAGCATATGTCTCTAGGATCATTTATCTTTCAACATAACACTTTCATGTGTTTTTGTTCCCCACTGTGTCCTAGTGGCATGGGCACTGCCCCCCATTTTTTATTAGTCATAATGGTAATACAGATTGATGGGTTTCATTTTGTACATAAAATATCTTCATCACTTCCCACCCACTGCTCCCTTTGCTCCACTTTTCCCCTGGTTTCTTATTTGGGTGGTGGTTCAATGTGTATAATGTATTTTGAATCATAGTCATGTCCCCTATTAGCTGCCCATACACTCCCTCCTCTGCCTTCCTTCACTTCCTCTTATCTAGTAATGGTCTCTCAACTTTTTTTGTCTTTTTTTTTTTTTTTTTTTTTTAATTTTTTGACAGGGTCTCACTATGTAGTTGAGACTGACCTGGATGGAACTCACTATGTAGCCCAGGCTGGTCTCCAACTCAGTGATCCATCCTCCTGCCTCAGCCTCCCGAGTGCTGGGATTACAGGCGTGCGCCACCACGCCCCACTCACTGTTGTCTTTTTATGATTCCACACATTAGGGAAATTCAATCTTTCCAAGCCTGGCTTACTGTACTCAAGGCTCTGTTTTGTACTCATCTTTATATTCATGCCTGTCCCTGGCAGACCGTGGTCCATGTAGGTACCTAATATGAAGCAACACAGGAACGAATCCTTCCATGCACTGTCTCAGGTCTTTCATTTTGTTAATTTCTTTTTCCCCAACCTCTATTAATTTTGAGGTATATAGAGGAAATAAAATCCTTTCCCTAACCAAAGGACTATGACAATGATTTTTAGAGTAGCCCAGGGCTGCTAGTGGAGGAGGGCACACATTAACATGAGGATTTATAGTGAAAGAAAGCTACTCAAGGAGCCATGAAGAACTCTGTAAGTACGAAGGGTCACTGTTGGCAGATGAAGCATAGGACCCCAGCCACCAAGATGCCATGGGGTTGCCATCACGCATTCAAAGATTCCATAATGGGTACCAGGCTCAGTATAAGATGTGATAAGAATTCTAAGCTATCTTTTTATGGCCCTTGATTTCCAGGACCTAGACTTTAATAGGTGAATGACCGAAATTCTTTCTACTTGATTTCTGGGGGCTGTTACTGGACACAACCACCCATAGACGGGCATACAATGTTTGAAGCTGACAGCCAAGGTTTGCTTAGATCCCTTAAATCTTCATTTTGTACTTCTGAACACACAAGAGATATCTGACCCAGCTTTCTGACCTAGTCAATCCCAAAAGGATTATACAAGGTTATATGAGTTAGTATTGACAGTAGTCTGGTATGATGCTCTTTCATCTATAGAGTTGGGCAACTTGAGTACTTTGGTTATAAGAAAAATTCTTGGCTGGACTAGGAGATTAACTGTATGAGTTACAGCAAGGAAAAGTCAATCAGGAGTGCACACTAACGAAAGATAAAGCATATGGTGTTAATTTGCTCCCCCCTCGATAAACTACCCTTCACCTAGAAAATACTACCACCTGTCAAGTTCAAGCGCCTGGAAGTCTGCTTCACCCCTCTACACTAATGACTTCTTGGTATTCGAAATGGGGCAAACAGAGCGCAATTAACATTTCAACCTCCAACAGCAGAGAGAGTGGGACGTCCCTAAAAGACTGGGTCCTCAGGGATCGCCCAAACAGCCCCCACGACCATCGCTGTCTATAGCCGGCGAACATCTCTTCCTTCCCTTATTCCGGACCTCTCTCGGACGGAATCCGACCCGGGACTACACAACCAGACACCGGTCCACTTCTCCAGCTTCGCGAAAGGTCCGAGCCGCCCTCGCGCTGACCCGGCCTCGGCCCCGGGACCCTCGGCTCACCCCAAGCAGCCAGGCAGTCGATTTGCAGAGGTAGCTTCTCTAGGATCGGCACCGGTTCGAAAGCGTCGTGCATGGCGGCGATAAGAGACTCGCCGCCCCTGTCTCACCAAAATGGGGAGGGTTTGTAGTTAGAACCGGAATAGAGGAAAAGGATAGACAGGGATCCACTGGTCGGCCACTACAGGTCCTTCTGCTACACATCCGTCTTCGCGAAGGACTTCCTGTCGCGTTAGCCCCGCCCCTTCCGCCGCTGGTGCCCGCCCCACCCCGCTCCCCCGCCCCCTCTCCCTCCTCTGCTCCCTGGAATCCCGTTGCTGCCTGATCTAGTGGTTTGCAAAGAACGTGGACAGATCTTGTTTTAGAACCGCCTCAAGCAATAAACGTGATGCTTAAGAACTCGCGCATGGGCGTCAAATTTGGAGACGCTATTTAGGAAATAAGCTGTTTTTTGGGAAGTTTAACTCTTATTTTCCTAATCTGCGAAATGGTTTTTAAGTACCTATTGTGAGCTCCGAAGAACACTGATATACTCTACCCAGTCAATGCATAATAGCTTCAGTGTTACCATTATAACCCAACTGACTGAACTACCTTAAACTTACATTTTTAAAGTCGTAGTGCAGTGGCTTTCAGTGTGGCTCCTAAATCAACAGCAGCATCACCTCTGAACTTGTTATAAACGCAGTCTTGGGCCTCACTCCAGCTCTACTGAATTCATTTCTGGAGAACAGCAATCTTTTAAATTTCCCTAGCTGAGTCCACATACGTAAAATCTTGAGAAGCCCTGCCCCAGGCTGGGATTTCTCAAAACTGGAGCACTACTGACGTTTAGGGCAAGATGGTTCTTTGGTGGTGCAGGGGCAGTCTGTGCGCACTGTAAGCTGGCCGGCAGCAGTTTACCCCCAGGTAGATGCCAGCAGCACTGCCCAAGGTCACAAATACAACTCAAAACGTCTTCACTTTGCTAAGACTCCTGGTAGGTACGATCACCCAGCTGAAAATGGTTCCAGGCCAGTGCTTCTCAAAAACTAATGTACATACAAATCACCTGGAAATACTGCTTAAGTGCGATTTGGGTTCAGGAGAATCAGTGGGGCCCTCAGTTAAGCATTTCTAACAAGCTCGTGGGAATTGCTGATGCTGGACCACATTTCGAGTAGCAAGGATTCAGGCAGCAAAATTTGACACATAACTCTTGGGAGTCAGTAAAAAAGAAATTTAAATTGATGGCATGCCTACCTATTCAACTCTCCCAATCTGTGTTCTATCCTAGTTTCTTTTAGGAAAGTGAATGTCATGGTTCTTTCCTCAGAAGGGCCTTACTTTCTGAAGTTACCAGTTTTCACACTGGAGCCTGAAGACAAAAACTGAATTTGAGCTGCAAGAATGATCCATATCTGGTAAGTGCCCCTAATTAAAGCACTATGTATGTAATAAACTTAAGCATTTGAGATGAAAGCAAATATCTAAAAGGATCAGGCTATATGAAGTTTAAACGGTCCTGGTCACTATATTTTTAGAGTATATTTCTTCATTTATAATCTAAGGATTCTTGTCACATCTTTACAAGATGCTGTTCTGATAAATGAGAACTATATTTACAAGCAGTTAGAAACAAAAAGTGCTCAACAAATCTATATTTGACTGATTTTTAGCAAAGAAACTGACCACTTGCTTCAAAATGAAGAATTACCTGGAAAAGGTCCAATAACCTAGTAGTTCTAGGTTCAAGGACCAAAAACAACAAATAATATTAACCAAGGTGGTAATAGTCAATATGAAACTATAAATTCCCCCTGAACCTGCACTAAGACATACATATGATATCCAATCTTAGTAAACACAGAAAAGACAATTATGTTATATAAAATGTGTACTATATACTTATTTTTAAAGTCTTTTTTCCATATTAGAACAGACTAAACAATACTTGACCAACTATCCTGCTACATTATAACTATTATTCCATTTGATAAGGTTTGGGGTGCAGCAGCAACACACCAGTGTAACCCATGAGACTTTTACTAGAACTAAGAACATAATCAGTTCTTCATATTAAATTGTTCCTTAAAAATACTGCTGAGATGACTTTTTTCAAAAAAAATCACCATAGCAAAGAAGTGTATAGAAACGCTACCTGAATGTTAACACTTTTACTACAGAGTTAGTTAGTGAAGATTGTGGTCACCGGTTTCAACAGAAAATGTGACAATCTAGAATAAAACTAGGGGGAAAAAATTCCACAAGAAAGAATAAGGGAGATGTTCAGAGAAAGCGTGAAATAAATTGAGAAAAATATATTAATTTTGTTAAAATTTTTTATATTAAAAAGTGACTTTTTTTTTTTTTGGTACCAGGGATCAAACTTGGGCCCTTGCACTTGTGAGGCAGGCACTGGAACCACTGAGTTAAATCCCCAGCCAACAAGAACTTTTTATATAGAACAAAAATTTTGGAATTTTGGAGAACAAAATAGGATAAACCCATTAAAACAGAAATACAGTGCTTCAAGTGAATCCCATCACCTTGTGATGTCCCTTATAAACAGTCTCCAAACCAACACCAGATACGAAAGTCAAACCTAAAGAATGAGCAGCAGTCAGGGCCTCCACACTACTTCATGCAAGAGTAACCGTGCAGACTCTGCCATCAAGACGTGCTTGGTTTCATAAGCTCCCACTCCAGCAGCAGGACAGTCCCTCTAGCAGGGTGCTCAATCACAGCATTTAGACAGGTGCCTCCCGGGAATGGCATTCGGGCAGGCGGCCACCTCTGGAGGCTTGCAGAACAGCAGTTAAGAGTCCGGAGTGTGTACCACATTGCCAGCAATGGGATGTGTCACAACAGCAGATGCCAAGAGTCAAGCTAGTATTTCTCTTTAAAGTACATCTGAAATACAAAAATCTTTAATATACACCATTTGGAAACAAAAGTGCACTTGTTTGCTTTTTTAAAACGATTCACTATAAGTAGCTGTTTTTTATCTTTTGATCACTGACAGAACCTTAATTGGCTCCTTAATTCAGAAGGGCCCTCTACAAGATGGAACCTGGAGTTCCCAAGAAATTGAAAGACAAGTAACGATTTCCCCCAACACCCAAGAAACTCCCTAAATAAATAAAAATTACAGGCAGTTGCTCCTGGAGATTACATACAATGGTGTTGATTTCACAGTCCTTTAGAAGATGTTAAACTTTAGTTTGACAGATTAAACAAGTGAAACACAGGAAGTTGAGGAACGACACATATGTTGTATAAGCATCCATGTCAGAGTTTGGGAGGGAAAGGGCATCAATGTTGTAAATAAGAAGCTTGTAGGTTTTTCTTATCCTATGAGCATGGTTTCAGTAAGATATTCAACTTGTTCTGACACCTCTCACTGGCTCCAATATACAAAGATCAAGAAACAGATCAGAATGTCACTGTCTCCTTTAATCCTGAGGAACACTGTAGAAGACACTTATAGAAGCCAATCTCTTCCTTGATACTAGCCATCTTCAACTGCAAATCTTCCCATTCTTTACTCCATTTTGGACCGTTCAAAGTGTGTGATCATTCGTTCCTGGGGGTAAAGAAAAGGTTTAAGTGTGTTAATTTAAAATGATCATGAGAATCAAGACCTATTATGTAAAGGTACAAGATCCCAATTATGAATGTAACTGTATTGTATACCTAGATTGTACTAATAAACTCAATAAAAAGAAAAAAAAATAACAACAAAAAAAGATCTACCTCCCAAATATCTTCTTAGAGCAATGATTCCTAAATATCTATGAAGATTTTTAAAAACAAATACACAGGCCCCACCAAGATCAACTGAGTCAAAATGTCCAGCCTTCTGGATAGCAAACTCAGAAAAAAATGTGTATTTTGGAGTGAACTAAGATCATTGAACATTAAGTTTTTTGTTGCTTGAGACAAACAAACTTAGGGTCTCCCTTTGTAATTCAGGATATCCTTGAACTCATTATGTAGCCCAGGCTGGCCTCAAACTCGCAGAGATCCTTCTGCCTCAGCCTCCCAAGTGCTAGGACTACAGGTGCGCATCACCATTCCCAACTAATTAAGATTTAATAAGGACATGTACCTCGCCTCTTTAAGGAATTTAACTTAAAGACCCAGTGAAGGATGTGGACAGAGATTCACATTCAGCTACAACACTCAGCATAACAAAATACGAAAAGGAACCAAGTCTAAAAATGGACAGCTTTGCACACAAACTGACACATCTTCACAACTGAAGTGTATGCTCATTAAAATTGAGCTGATGAGACAGTTTCAGAGGCCTGTGGTCCGAGAGTGCACAGAGGTCACATTCTTTACTTAAGGATGGTTAGGAGGGCACATTATTTGGTTTTATCAAAAATCTTAAAATCATGTGGAAAAATTAACATAATTTGACTCTATAAAATAGTATCTACACTGTACTGTTTTAAGAAATATAACATACTATCAAACTTCATTTACTGTCCAGTTTTTACAGTATTTTTGTTTCCTCTTATTTTATGTGCTAAGTGCCTATCACAGACTTCTAAATCTTTTAAAAATATGATTAATCACATCCAATAATCTTTATTCTTTTCACTCTTTCCTTAGAAATACACTTCCTGGCAAGACATAGTGGTGCACACCTGTAATCCCAGCACTCAGGAGGTTGGGGCAGGAGGATCACTGTGAGTTTGAGGCCAGCCTGGGCTACACAGTCAAAAAAAAAAGAAATACACTTCCTGAAAGTCTGTTTTCCTGTTTCATTCCAGGTGCTTTCCAAGCCTGCTACCCAGCTGTCACCCTGAGAATTTCTTATGTTGTCACACTGGGAATCTGGCTTGCCTCACTGTTATGGATGTTTTATTTCCTAGACCTGTCTTTCCTAGCTTTCTCATTTTAATGGCAAACACCTTCCATTACTTTCTTGAGAAGCACATGGAGACTGTCAATGCTTACATGACACAACACCTTTATTTTAGCTTGCTATGGATATTTGGATAGGTATAGAATTCTAGGTTGAAAATTTTTCTCAGAATTCAAAGGCATTGTTCTAGTATCTACTGACTTCCAAAGCTGCTGTTAGAGTCTGATGCTATTTTTGACTCTTGGTCCTTTATCAGATTTGTTTCTCCTTTTAAGGTATTTTTCAGTTTTCTAAAAAAGAAAAGTCCTTGGAGAAAGTTATGTCAGCATGATGGCAGAACAGAAAGCCCAGGTCCTCTTTTCTTACAGACACTGACTAAACAATATGCAGAACAATTTTTTTTTTTTTTTTTTTTTTTGGTGAGAAACGCAGAAACCAGCTGAGGGGCTCATGTACCACAGAAGGGCACTAATTCAGTCATATAAAGCCAAGAGGAAAAGCTGAGATATCTTTTTGTCATAATCTACCCTGTCAAAACATGGCACAGAATCACCATATGTGGAAGAAACTCTCAGTTTCCAGCATCTACGTGGGGAGGAAAGGGAGGACTAAAAGGTACACACAACATCCTGACTTCTAGAAGCTGCCTGATGGAAAGGTTCTGTCTTGCTTTAACCTGAGCACTAAAAGCAAAGGGTCCCAACTTGGAAACCCTGGAAAACAAAGGCAGAGGTCCAGGCAAGCAAACAGATACTTGCCAGACCCACTCACTCTCCAAGACTCTCAGTCTGACACACAGCAAATACAGAAAAAGTCCTAAAGCCCAGGTTCTGTCTGGGAAGAAGAGATGGACTACAAATCTCACATTCCAGAATTTCAGGAAGTTGCCCAAAAGATTGGCTTCTGTCTCAGAACACAGTGGAACCTCCACACTTTAGGTACCTGGGGGCCACTGTGAACAAAAACAAAAAAGATCTTGAGCATGCTCGTACTCCCTGGGTACCCACAGTACACCACAGAGTCAGCAAGGGAGACGCAACTATGAACTCCTAGGGGACAAAAAGCAGCAAATCTCTCTAGCAGTAATTCACACACACAAGTTCAGAGAAGATACATGCACAGAGAAATTTCTGGAATCTCTGGCCAACCCAACTAGTAAAGGTCTCCTGTACAAGGAAGGTCTGTGAATATGGAAGAGGTGGTTGTTTTCTCTAATGCACAGATACCAACACAAAGAATTTTTAAAAATAGTATAGCAGGGAATTGGGACCCAAAGGAAGATATATCTGCAAAATGACCCTAATGAAACAGGTATATGGAATACCCGACAGAGAATCAAGACAGCTCAGTTCAGTGAGCTCAGAACACTGCACAAATTAAGTAAGAATATCAACAGAGATGAAAAATATACATATTCTTTGTACCAGGGATCGAATTCAGGACCTTGTGCTTGCAAGGGAAAAAAATACTTATTTTTTATTTTTAAAAAGATTTTTGTTTTATTTTATTTGGGGTGCCAGGGATTGAACTTGGGCCTTTGTGCTTGCAAGACAGGCAGCTGAACAACTGAGCCAAATCCCTGGCCCCAAAATATTTTTTGAAAAATACCAACAAGCCAGATGTGATGGCACATACCTGTAACCCCAGCATTTGGGAGGCTGAGGCAGGAGGAACACTACAAGTTTGAGGCCAGCCTGGTCTACATAGTTCAAGTTTAGCCTGAACTACATAGCAAGACCCTGTCTCAAAAACCAAACCAAACCAACAAATTGGATAATCTAGAAAAAAAATGGATAAATTCCTAGAAACATACAACCCATCAATACTGAGTCATGAATAAACAGAAAATCTAAATGGACTTGTAACAAGACTGAATCCAGAGTCAAAAACTTCACAATAACACTCCATTATAGATGGCTTCATTAGTGAATTCTACCAAACACGAACCTATGCTTTAAAACACTTCCAAACCACTGAAAAAAAGAAATTCATTTAGAAGTAACTTCCACATGTGTTCTATGAGAACATCATTACCCTGATACCAAAGTCAAACAAAGACAATTCAAAAAAAGAAAACTACAGGCCGAAAACCCTGATGGATATAGATCAACAAGCCAAACATAATGGGGCATGCCTGTGATCCCAGCTACTCGGGTGTCTTGAGGAAGGAGGATCACAAGTGCAAAACTAGCCGGGGAAACTTAGTAAGACCTTGTCTATAACAACAACAACAGTAATAATAATAACAACAATAATAATAATAAATAAAGGGTGGGTATACAGCTCAGTGGTGTATTTGCCTCGCACACACAACAGCCTGGGTTCAATGTGCAATTCTGAAAACACAAAACAAAAGCTTAGATGAATACTAGCAAAAAAGGATCACATACTGTGAAAATTTATCCCTGAAATAGAAGGAAGGTTCAATGTACACAAATCAGTTAGTGTGATGCAACATAATAACATAATGAGGCCATTACCACATGATCAATACCAAATGATACAGAAAAAACTATTATATAAAATTTACTATCTTTTCATAATAAAAACTTCCAACAAAATGGGAATAGAAAGAAATCACCTCAATATGATAAAGCCCATAAATGAACAGCCCACATGATATTCAACAATGAAAAACTAATGTAAGGATGCCAAATCATGTCACTGCTATTCATCACAGCATCCTAACCAGAGCAATTAGGTAACGGAAACAACAGTACCCAATCAGAAAGGATAAAGTAAAATTAACTCTTGAAGAACACCACATACTGCACAATTCCATTTATATGAGGAATCTAAAACAGCCAAACTCATGTAAGAAAGTAGAACAGTGGATGCCATGGGCAAGGGGAAGCAGAAAAAACTTATTCAACAGGTATAAAGCTCCAGTTGGACAAAACTCATCCTACAGATCAGTGCAACACTGTTTATCTTTAATACTGTAACATACACTTAAACAATTCTGAGGACAGAGATCAGTGTTATGTTGTTATCACAAAAAAGGGCTGTAATACTTACATACACTTGAAATCAATAGTGACCCTGAGTTCCCATAAATGACACAATTGTTTTCATATTGTCACTCCTCCCCAGGAGGAATACAGCCTGGTTGGGGAGCTGAAGCCAAAAGGAAACCCTGACAGCAAATAATTAGCAGAGGAAGACCCTGAGAGAGATCTGGGAACTACAGAAGACACTACAGAAAGCAAAGCATTATGTGGACAACTCAAATCTGAACAGCAGAATTCTCAATTATTTCACTGCAAAGGACAGGTAAGGAATCTTGACACTGTATGTGTGTGAGCACTGTCACAAAGCAGGTCGGCAGGAAGGTACCAATCATTGTTAGCTACCAGTTCAACACAGGGGCAAGAAGCTTCCAAAAGGCTTTCTGAAGCCAAGGGACTCTAGAAGAATCTAATATTCAGAACATATCTAAGACTAGGTCCCATGAACCTACATATCAATTCCTTCCTAAGACTTTATGTGCAATCTTTTAAGTGAACTAATCAGAGGTGTAATAAAAAATTAAAAAGCAACATAAATATTAGAGGTAATTATAATCACTATCAGAACAGGGTGGCGACACTAGAACAGTAAATGTAATAGGTAATTTATATTTTGTTTTGGTCTACTATATTCCTTTTCAATATTTCTGTAAGGAGGGCAGGGACAATGGGGAAAAAAATGAGAACCAAGACCTGCCATGTAAGGGTACAAGATCCCAATAATGAATGTAACTGTACTGTATACCTAAAATGTACCAATAAACTCAATTAAAAAAAATAAGAGTACAGTATTTGTTACCTAATTGAAATGAAAATATTTCTCAACTTGGACCATACAATTTTAGAAAAGGAGGATGTAGATAAACAGATGTAAAGGAAGGAGACTCTGTCCACTGAATGTTCAAGTTCTGTTCATATTCCCATTCTCCTCCTTTTCTACTATACCACACTAATTCTTCAGTTCATTCACGACTTGTTATTAAATCCAGATCCACAGCTTACAGACATGATCTGATTACTGACCTCATCTGAATCCAGAAGGGCTGGAAGTGCTCTGCAGAAAGAAGGGAACACTAAATTAAACAATGTCAAATAAAGCTATAAATGGTTCATAAAGGACAGAGAAATAGCGACTACAACTTAAAGCTTTTCTGTAACTTATCTAAGTCTTGCATCTTATTATTAGCCCTTTTAGGACAAAAAGGCAAATGAACAAGAAAAACATGTTCTGGAATATAATAGGATTAACAGTTCATTCAATTACAACTATACAAAGAAACTTCAAAATTATTTTTCTTTTTTTTTTTTTTTTTTTTTTTTTTGGTACCAGGGATCGAACTTAGGACCTTGCACTTGTAAGGCAGGTGGCGGCACCACTGGGCTAAATCCCCAGCCCAGGAACTTTAAAATTCTTAAAGGACTATCACATTGATTTTGGAATGAGCTATAGCTCAATCTTTCTAAATGTCATTTGAATGAATAATCCCACTTTTTTTTTTTTTTTTTTTGGTACCAGGGATTGAACTTGGGTCCTTGTGCTTGCAAGGCAGGCGACAGAACCACTGAGCTAAATCCCTGGCCCAATCCCAATTATTTTTGTTTAAATCATTTTTCATCATCTTATATTCCCATTAGTGTGCTTTAAAATAATAAAAAAGTAGTATTAACTTTGAAATAGGATTCATAATAGTAATGACTCATAGTGGGCATGGTGGCACATGCCTACAATCCCAGCACTCAGACGCTGAGGCAGGAGGACTGCCACAAATTTGAGGCTAGCCTAGACTCTATAGTGAGATTGGGACCAACCTCAGCTACACAGCAAGACACTGTCTCAAAAAACAAAACAAAACAAAAAAGAAAATAATGATTCAAACACTTACACATCTGTTACAGAAGAAGGAACATTCTCTTCTACCCACTTCAAATCATCTTCCTGCTGGGAATATGCAAATACTAGTTGTTAACTCCAATGCACCACATAACACAACCAAAGTAAAGCTCTAACAACCCTTATGATCTTTTTTGGTAGTTAGTATAAATGGAATTGTTTTCCTGATTTCTTTCAGATAGTTCATTGCTAGTGTATAGAAATAAAATTGATTTTTGTATGTTGAGTTTGTATCTTGAAATGTTATTGAATTTATTAGTTCTAACAGTTTTATGGAGTCTTTTCTATATGAAAGATCATGTAATTTGTAAATAGGAACAATTTAACTTCTAAGTTAGATACCTTTTTTCTTGCCTAACTGCCCTGGGTAGGATCAAATAATTTAATTTTTTGTTTGTTTGTTTGGTACTAGGGATCAACCTCAAGACCTTGTGCTTGCAAGGCAGGTGGGAGAACCACTGAGCTAAATCCCCAGCCCTAAATAATTTAATTTTTAACATCATATAAAAGAAATACAAAATAATGTCCTCCATCGTCCAATATTCTTCTCATTGGCCTAATACATGAAGTATATTTCATGTAGGCTTTGGCCCTTAAGGCGGAGATCATTTCTAAAATCTTTTTAAAGCTGGGCATTGCAACACATGCCTATAACTACAGCCCTGAAGGAACTGGAAAAGCCAAGTGTGGCCTACATATTGAGGCACTGTCTCACACACACAAAAAAAAACACAAATAAATAAAGCCTTTTATGCAGAGTGGATGTTCAGTTTCAATAAAATCTGACTTGATAGCTGCAGTTTTAACTTAGTGGCAAGGACGTTTGCCTAACACACCTGAGGGCCAGGGTTCAATCCAGCACCAAAAGTAAAAAGAAAATTCCCTCACTGAAATCATCTAGGTCTTTATTCCAAAAAAGACCATAGTTTATTAATGGGATGATGACTTCACTACTGAAAACGATTAAACGGAACAATCAGAATAATCTCCTACTTTTTAGGAATACAAAAGGAAATGATCTTGTTGAAGATTACTAGATCTTAGTCTCATTTGCTGTCTATTTTTGAATGTAAATTAATATATATATTCAAAGATTAATTTTGGCAAGCCTAATTATAGCATAGGCACAAAAATCATTAAGGCTTATGAATACTGACTTTCAACAAGAACTGAAAAATTGGGCAAAAACCAAAGAGAAAAGGAAAAAAGTCAAACTTACTGTTTTATTTACTTTACTGTTTCCGTTTGGTTCTTGTTTAGTACTTCTCATTTTCATTCCTTCTGAAGAAGGAAGGAAAGTATGCAGATTGGTTAACTCTGTAAACAGATCAGCTATGATTCCAAAAATGGATTGAGAGCTTTATTTTAAGCTTACTGATTTATATAATTCGATGTTTCTCCATCTTTGCATTTACACTGGAAGTCCAAAGCTAAACTTACACCTCACTTCTAGCATGTAAACTAGACATTTATTCAATTTATCACTGCTTTACCTTAAAACTTACACTCTTATATCCCCTCCATCCTAACTTTATCACACACCAAACTGAGGAATAACACTGTTGTAAAATAATAAACAATGTACTTATATGAAAACATATTTAAAGCACAAACAAAAAGTGAGTTTTATCACTACCAAAGCTTTCTTTCAACATAGGTTCCTTTTGTTCATCTTCTTCATCTTCCTCAGACAATGGTGAAAAGGCAAACCTGTCAGAAAAAAGGTAGACGAGAGGGAAAAATTAGAACACTATAAAAGCGCTCTACTATCTGGGTTTTACAGGGCTTACTATTGAAAGTGCAGCTGTAGTCATTAACATAATCAGTTTAGGAACAGTAATTCTTCCCCTTCAGAAAGCTCTTAGAGGCTTTCAATAGCAAGGGAACAGCAGAACACTACCATATTTCTAAGTACTCAGGCACACAATCCCTTGTAAACTTAGGCAAGTTAGTTAACCTCTCTGTATGCCTAGTTTCCTCATCTGTAAAAAGGAATAATAGAACATTACTCAAAATACTCATAGGAGTGTTCTGTGAAAATAACTCATTACAGAGTGCTTACAACAGTATCTGGCCTTTTTTGTAATCATTCAATAAATGTTCTTTTGTAAGGATTCCTTTCATACAAAGGAAAGTAAATTCTCCCCTCTGTTTGGTTCCTCACTCAGGGTGTCCTCACTCAGGGTCACAGACACACATACCATACCTTTCTAATGAAAATATGTACTTTAGCACAAGGACAGCTAGCTGTCCATCTGAATAGCTGTGCTGGGGGAATACAAGAAGCAATCTTTGTGTTCACCCACTTAACAGGAATGGCAAGGTGCACACATGTGTTAAAGCGTGAATCAGTGAGTTTTACCCATATTATGAGCCATGTTACATTTTAGTGTATTTATAATTTATTTTTTATTTTTTATTTATTTATTTATTTTTTTGGTACTGGGAATTGACCTCAGGTCCTTGTGCTTGCGAGATTTATAATTTTAAAATAAATGTTTTCTTTTGATCTTTCTTATAGAGTGGCCCAATTCAATACAATGTCACATGAAAATCCACTCTGACAACTTTGGGAAGAGGTTAAAAGTGAGTCATCAGGTGACTCTGATGACTTGGATCATATGAGCCAAAGAGTTAGCAAGAATGACAGATGGATAAGTACAGAATGAAGAACTTGAGTCAGATGAGGAAGAAACAGTAATGTAAATAAATATTTGACTAGTCAAAATGCTAAAAAACAGTCATGTATATGATCCAATGTGAGAACTAGGTCAGAAAATGTTATTAGGTTCTTGCCAGGAGTAAAACCTATTGGACAAAATGCCAACACTGCGATCCAATGTTGGAAATTGTTTGTAATGGACAATATGTCCAACAGTATGTTTTGAAATACAATATGGACAAAAGTATGTTTTGAAATACACCAATAATGAAATACAAGACAATCTATACATTCTATATGTATCAATAGTAACACTCAAAAAAACATATTTATCATGACATTTCACTACCTGAACTAAAAGCCTTCATAGCAGGATTTAATCATCCCAATCGTCAGAATCTGGAGGATTTATGGAGAAGTGACCAATGTGGTGTTGATAGTTTTAGAACAATAATGACACTCAAGATTCGGTTTCCTACGTTTTGACAACAAAAAGTCTCACCAAGATTTAAAAATAGCCAACAATTTGGCTACTGTTTGCTTATTTGTTGTGTTTCCAACTGTCAAGCAATTGCAGTCCAAATACATCACAACTAATGAACAACTTGCATTATTTTGTTATTGCTAAAGCTTTCAACAATGTATGCCAAGTAAACCTTTCAAATATGGTATAGAAATATATCCCCTGGTAGATGCAAGGACATTTTTACACCTTGAATTTAGAAATTTGTCCTGGAACTCAGCCACCAGGTCTTTCTTCATGCAGTAATAAACCGTCTGACTTTGTGAACATATTTGTTGCACTTACTTCAAAAAAGTAACCCAAATGTCACAATGAACAACTGGTTCACTAGTTACCCACTGATGTTACATTTCCTAAAAGAACCCCAGCTGACTAGCACAGGAACTATTCGCAAGAACAAAGCCAAGATTCCCTCCAAAATGCTGCAAGTTAACAACAGGGTATAATCTTTGGGTTTCAGAAAGACAGGCTGGTGAGGAAAAGCAAAGTAGTACTGATACTGTCAATGTTACAGCATGATAATAAAATTGATAGGGGATAGCATGTGGCAGCGCACACCTGTAATGCCAGCACTGGGGAGGTGGAGGCGTGAGGATCTTTGCAGTGAGTTCAAGGATATTTGCAGGGAGTTCAAGGCCAGCCTGAACTACAAAGTGAGACCCTGTCCCAAAACAAACCAACAAAAAAATGAATCCTCAACACAAAGCCAGAGACGGTCACATTTTACAACAAAATGAAAGACAGAGTAGACGTTGTTGACAAGCTATTCAGCAACTGTGTCACTTGAAACACAAAGCTTGGCCAATGGTGGTGTTTTACTCTACTGTAAACACATCATGGATAGTTTCACAGTTGACAAAGAAAATAACAAGCACAAAGTATCATGGAGAAATTTCCTTAAGAGGACTGGAATTGATAAATGATCAATTATTACAGAGGAAGAACAGTATGTATCGCCCAAAGAACTCCTCAAAAGAATTCTGGAGCAGACCAGTGAACACACAGGTGAAACAGCACAAGAACCTCCAAAGATGGGGCCTGAGGTGTAGCTCAATGGTGCCACCGCCTGCCTAGCAAGTGCTAGGTCCTGAGTTTTGACCCCTGGTTCCTCAAAAAAAAGAAAAGAAGAAGACCAGCAAGATGTCAAGTATGTCCTACCCAAGAAGTCAAAAAAAACAAAACACTTATGCTATTGGTGTAAGCAATTGTGTGCATGGAACATGCTGTTCTCATGTGTGAAAACTGCCTTCAGTATGATAAAAAAAATAAAGATGATTTCAGTGGTAGAGTTTTTGTATTTTCATTGTAGTTAACATAGGAATTTATTTCTGCTGCTATTTTTTAGATTTTGTAAACAAACATTAGATGTAGAAAATGTTGATGTTTATTCTAAACATTCAGTATATATTTGATATTTTATTTTATTGATATTTCATCATCCTGTTAAATTCACATTGTATAATATGATAGGAAGCTTCTGACAATAGAGGAAGACAAGAGAAGTAACAAGTATGGCCTGCCAAATAGGGAAAGCAAGTTAAGCACAGCATGAGTGAGAATTATGTATGGAACATGCTGTTGTCATGTGTGAAGACTGTCTTAGGTGTGACAACTGAAGCAAAGATTATTTCTGCAGTAGTTTTGTTTGTATTTTCATTGTAGTTTACGTAAAAATTTATTTCTGCTGTTATATTTTAGATCTTACAAGCAGGTAAACAGTTGATGTTGAAAATGTTGATGCTTATTCTACACTCATTACATACTAAAAATTTAGTATTTTATTTCAGTGATCTTATTTTCCTGTTAAGTACACATTAATAAAACTCAAAATTAAAATTAATAATTCATCAATAGAAATACTCCTAAAAAATAAACATAGGCATTACACACCCCCATAACTCCCCTTTTCTAAAAGTTTTCCCTGATGTCCATGTTTAACCCCAAACTTCAAATTGAGAGTTAAGATAAGGAGGCTTAAATCTGTGTGTTCTGCTCAGAAGATAAACATCTGATGGGTCCACTTCAGATATCTGTCCTTATTGTCAGACAACCCAGAATGCTCTAGCTTTGCCTTCCCTCTGTATTTCCTCTTTATTGCTGCCTAATGTTTTTATTGTACCTTCTTTTTGCTTTTTTTTTTGTGGTACCGGGGATCGAACTCGGGTCCTTGCACTTGCGCAGCAGGCCACCAAGCCACTGAGCTAAATCCCCAGCCCTATTGTACCTTCTTTTTAAATCTCTCCTTTTATGATAAAAACTCTTAAAAAACTAGAAATAGGGAATACCTGTAACTTGTTAAAGGGTAACAAAATTCCAAGATAAATATCACAGTTAATGATAATACTTGAGAAGCACCTGAAGTCAGAACGGGAGGAGGAGATGCACTCTCACTGCCTTTATTGAAAGTTATACTGTCAGTCATCGCTCCAGCTGGCTGTACTGCTTTTTAATATTGCACCGGCTTTTTTTAAATAAATTTTTTTTAAAAAGGAAAAGAAAAGTTATTCAGGAAGGCCTAGCCAGCATAATAATGCCTCAAGTCCAACAAAGTGAGTCTTATACACCTTTGACACAAATGTACAACATGTATTTCTTTGCGCATCCTAGTCGTCTCCTCCACATCACCTCTGCTTTTCCTCTCACTTCCGGACACCCAGGCACTGACTGAGCACTGTTCTGCTGTGCACTGTCGCACTGTGCAGTGAGCACACAGCAGCACAGCTGTGACAGTCTGGCAGACTTGGGGACTACTTTTGCAATCTGTTCACATCTATCAATGTTCATAATGTGAAGTCTGTTCTTATCTGTGAAAGTTCACAGCTCAAATGTTCATAAGTCGGGGACTTACTCTATGAGAATCAGAAACAAGGCAGATTATGTCTCAAAGAAGGAGCATTACGATTACTTCAGATAAGAGCCCAGCTGATAAGAAAATTGAGAAATTACCAAAACTAACAGGTATCAATCAGGGTTGATGGCTGTGATAAATTACAAAAATAAACAGCACTTCTAACATATCTGGAAAAGCCACATACAGTATTTTTAAAGGTTGCACTCCTAAGACCTACAAAAATGTTAGTAACATGTAATTTTAGCATTAAAAGGACTAAAAATGGAATTATCAAAAATATACATAAATTTATTTAATTAGGCATGGTGGTGCATCCCTGTAGTCCGGCTATTTGAGAAGCTGAAGCAGGAGGATCACAAGTTTAAAACCAGCCTGGGAAACTGCAAGACTTTAGCTTTAAAAATAAAAAGGGTTGGGGATACAGCTCAGTCGTAGAGCACCCCTATGTTTGATCCCTAATAGGCAAATGAACAAAAATTGAATGAATTAATTAATTCAATTAATCCCAATCAAAATTTTCATAAAGTTTTTCCAGAATTAAACAAAGAACAAATGCTATTTTTCCCCCCGATGCTAGGGATTGAACCCTAAGCCTCATACATGCTATGCAAGCACTCTAACCAATTAACTACATGCCCAGCCTCCAAATACAATTAAAAAAAAAAAAAGAAAAA